TTACCAAACCAGGTTTGTTTTGTTTGCTGCAAGATTATACCAATCACTGAGACGATGAGTTTGCAAAGAGAAAGGGTTTACTCATAAGGCAGCCAAGTGAGGAGACAGGAGAACCAGTCTCAAATCCACCTCCCTGCAAAATCGGGATTAGGGATATTTATGGGATGAAGGGGTGAGGTGGTCTGAAGTGTGGGAATAGATGATTGGAGGAGAGGAGAAGTGAAGTAACAGCTGATCTACACAAGCGTAGTCAAGCTTCGTGGCTCTTCATAGGACGCATGTTCACAAAATAGAAATGTTGCTATGATCTGAGGGTGGAGTTTTCAGCTCCTTGACATCTAAAGGTCACATCGGTCATCTGCACAGGCCAAGTTGATGAGTTGGTGTTCTCAGTAAGCCTGAACTGGACAAGGAGTTGACTCTCAGTTCCTGAAAAAGTTAAGCACTCCACACATTACCATGGTGACCCAAGCATCAGTGATGTTTTCTATACAGTGGGCTTTAGTAATGCATTATCTAACTACTTTTGCAAACAGACAACTAACTGAGTGTAGTTAAAGCAAGTTGGCCCCCAGTTTCACTTTCTCTTGCTAGAATAATTTTTTTTATTATTTTATTGAGGTCATAATAGTTTATAACATTGTGAAACTTCAATTGTACATTATTATTTGTCAGTCACCATACATATGTGCCCCTTTACCCGTTATGTCCACCCCCCCTACACCCCTTCCCCTCTGGTAACCACTAACCTGTTCTCTTTGTCCATGTGTTTGTTTATTTTCCACATATGAGTGAAATCGTGTAGTGTTTGTCTTTCTCTGTCTGGCTTATTTTGCTTAACATAATACCCTCAAGGTCCATCCATGTAGTTGCAAATGGGATGATTTTGTCTTTTTTATGGCTGAGTAGTATGCCATTGTATATATCTACCACATCTTCTTTATCCATTCATCAGTTGATGGGTGCTTGGGATGCTTCCACGTCTTGGCTATTGTGAATAGTGCTGCAATGAACATAGGGGTCCATAAGTCTCTGAATTGTTGATTTCAAGTTCTTTGGATAAATACCCAGTAGTGGGATAGCTGGGTTGTATGGTATTTCTAGTTTTAATTTTTTTTTTGTGAGGAAGATTGTGTCTGAGCTAACATCTGTTGCCAATTTTCCTCTTTTTGCTCGAGGAAGATTGTCACTGAGGTAACATTTGTGCCAATCTTCCTCTATTTTATGTGGGATGCCACCACAGCATAGCTTGACAAGCGGTGCTAGGTCCGCCCCTGGATTCCAAAACTGTGAACCCTAGGCTGCTGAAGCAGAGCGTGAGACCTTAACCACTATGCCACAAGGCCAGCCCCTATTTTTAATTTTTTGAGAAATCTCCATACTGTTTTCCATAGTGGCTGTACCAGTTTGCATTCCCATCAGCAGTGTATGAGGGTTCCCTTTTCTCCACATCCTCTCCAACATTTGTTATTTTTTGTCTTGGTAATTTTAGCCATTCTAACAGGTCTAAGGTGATATCTCATTGTAGTTTGGATTGGCATTTCCCTAATGATTAGTGATGTTGAACATCTTTTCATGTGCCTGTTGGCCATCTGTATATCTTCTTTGAAAAATATCTGTTCATGTCCTCTGCCCTTTTTTTTAAATTGGGTTGTTTTTTTTGTGGTTAGGTTGTAGGAATTCTTTATGTATTTTGGAGATTAACCCTTTGTCAGATATATGATGTTCAAGTATTTTCTCCCTGTTGGCAGGTTGTATTTTTGTTTTGTTCCTGGTTTCCTTTGCCTTGCAGAAGCTCTTTAGTCTGATGTAGTCCCATTTGTTTATGTTTTTTTTTTTGTTTGTTTCCCTTGCCTGAGCAGACATGGTATTTGAAAAGATCCTTCTAAGACTGATGTCAAAGAGTGTACTGCCTATATTTTCTTCTAGGAGTTTTATGGTTTCATGTCTTACCTTCAAGTCTTTAATCCATTTTGAGTTAATTTTTGTGCATGGTGAAAGATAATGGTCTACTTTCATTCTTTTGCATGTGGCTGTCTAGTTTTCCAAACACTATTTATTGAAGAGACTTTCCTTCTTCCATTTTATGTTCTTGGCTCCTTTGTCAAAGATTAGCTGTCCATAGATGTGTGGTTTTGTTGCTGGGATTTCAATTTTGTCCCATTGATCTGTGTGTCTGTTTCTGTGCCAGTACCATGCTGTTTTGATAGCTTTGTGGTATATTTTGAAGTCAGGGATTGTAATGCCTCCAGCTTTGTTCTTTTTTTTCTTTGAGAAAGATTAGCCCTGAGCTAACTGCTGCCAATCCTCCTCTTTTTGCTGAGGAAGGCTGGCCCTGAGCTAAGATCCGTGCCCATCTTCCTCCACTTTATATGTGGGACACCTACCACACCGTGGCATGCCAAGTGGTGCCTCGTCCGCACCCGGGATCTGAACCAGCGAACCCTGGGCCAATGAAGCAGAACGTGTGCATTTAATCGCTGTGCCACCGGGCTGGCCCCTCCAGCTTTGTTCTTTTTTCTCAGGTCTAGAATAATTTTCTTGATGCTGAACTCTTCAAATTTAGAAGAGGCAAAAAGTAAGGTTGAGATGTTGCTTGAAAAAGGGTCAGGGTTTGGTCCTCTTCCTCGTAGACTCAGATACTCACGTTAGTGTTCCAGAGTTGATTAGACTGAGGAAAGTTGTTTCATTGTAATTAAATCACCAGGGACTGAAGTATGAAATCCAGAATGCCAGCTTATTAATTTATGTTCAGAACTGCACTGTCAGAAACACACTAGGTGCCTGTATTAATCTGGCTAATGGAGGATTTCTCCTTTTGGGAAAATTACAGGAAGCCAAAATTTTTAGAAGGCTTCCTGGTGAGTTTTATGTCTGAGCCAGACAGTTGGTTGTGTGATTCAGATAATGAATATGATCAGGTACTGATGTGCTGACACATTTATTTCAACAACTAGGACGTACTGGACCGAAATGACAGTGGAGTAGCTTGTCAGAGCACTTTCTCCCTTGAGCAGTCCTTGATGATACTCTAACATTGGTCTTTCTCCTTTTTCTTGTGAAATAATCTGAGGTTTATAAATAAGTGTAGGGAATAATATAAACATCATCTTGCTTAAGAATACTTTTGGCCTTGTTTATTCTTTCAATCCCATTTTTTCCCCTTTCTCCAGAGACAACTACTATCCTGAATTTGGTGTTTAACATTCCCATAAAGATTTTTATATTTACGAAATATGTATTAACTACCAATAATATATGGTATTGTTATGTATATTGTAAGACTGTATTAATGGTATCACGCCATATATACTTGTTCTACAACTTTTTCACTCAATATTATATATATATATATTTTTTTTTTTTAAAGATTTTATTTTTTCCTTTTTTTCCCCAAAGCCCCCCGGTACATAGTTGTGTATTCTTCGTTGTGGGTTCCTCTAGTTGTGGCATGTGGGACGCTGCCTCAGCGTGGTCTGACGAGCAGTGCCATGTCCGCGCCCAGGATTCGAACCGACGAAACACTGGGCCGCCTGCAGCGGAGCGCGCGAACTTAACCACTCGGCCACGGGGCCAGCCCCACACTCAATATTATATTTTGGGGACTTGTCCACGTTGAGACTTAGCTCAGCCAAGTTTTTCATAGCATTTCTGTTTTCTTTGTTATGATTCCAGAACCTAAGAACCATAGTGTTGCAGCTCAAAGAAGAGAAAGAGGTGGGCTCACTGTTTCATTCCATATTATATTTTGGGGACTTGTCCGTGTTGAGATATCTATATCTATCCCTCTAGCTCATTCATTTTAATTTAATTTAATTTTAATTTAATTGCTGTATAGCATTCTAGAATATGGATATATCACAATTTATTTATCTGTTCTTCAGTTGAACTTTTAAGTCATTTGCAGCATTTTGCTGACTCGTGTGTGGTTGCCAAATTGCTTCATAAGTGGTTACCAGTTTAGACCTTCATTGCTCCTTATCTTCCCCAACACTGAATATTGCCAGAATTTAGCTTTTTCTAATCTGATGGGTATGAAATGTATGCAATGGTATTTCACTGTGCTTTAATTTTCTATTTCCCTGAGTATCATTATAAAAATGCCTCTTGGCCACTTAGATTTCTATTTTGGTGAATTTTCTCTTTAGAAGTTTCACTGTTTCTTCCCAGTTTGATATTTAGAAGTTCTTTGTATAGTCTGGCTATTAATCACTTGTTGTTTGTAGGCATTGCAGAAATTTTATCCTAGTCTGTGGCTTGTCTTTTTTACTTTTTCAGAGTGTCTTTTGATTTATAGACATTTAGAATTTAATTGTAGTAAAATTAATGACTTTTTTCCCATGGTTTTTGTATTTCTTATTTAAGAAATCTGTTCTTACTTTGCAGTCATAAAGATATTCTCCTATATTTTCTTTACAATTTTAAAAAATTTGGCTTATCACACTTTGGCCTTTAATTTACTTGGAATTGATTTTGTATATGGTATGAAGTGGAGATAAAACTTTTTTTCATATGGAAAAACCAGTTATCTTGGCACTATTGATTGAAAGATTTGTCTTTCCCCACTGATACAGAGCCGTTACTGTTCTATATCAAGGATGCATGGGTCTGTTTCTGAATGTTCCATTGCTCTATGTCTGTCCTTATAACAATTCCACACTGACTTAAATAATGTCACTTTGTAATATATTTTGATAACTGGTAAGATGACATTCCTCCTCCTTATTTATCTAAAAATTGTCCTGGCCATTTTAGATTCTTTGCTTTTTTTTTTTTTTTTTTTAAAGATTTGCACCTGAGCTAACAACTGTTGCCAATGTTCTTTTTTTTTTTTCTGCTTTTTTCTCCCCAAATCCCCCCAGCACATAGTTGTATATTTTTAGTTGTGGGTCCTTCTAGCTGTAGCATGTGTGATGCCGCCTCAACGTGGCTTGGTGAGCGGTGCCATGTCCGCACCCAGGATCTGAACCAGCGAAACCCTGGGCTGCTGAAGCAGAGTGTGAACTTAACCACTTGGCCACGGGGCCAGCCCCTCTTTGCTCTTGTATATAACTTTTAGAATTAGTGTGTGAAGCTTCACAAAAAGCCTTGTGGAGACTTTAAATAAAATTAACTTTATTGAGGTATAATTTACAAATGATAAAATACACCAATTTTAAGTATGCAATTCTATGAGTTTTGACAAAAACGTATCTCCGTGTAGAATAATTCCATCACTCAAGACAGTTCCCTTATGTTCCTCTTTCCAGCCAATTCATAGGTTCTTAAGTTCTATTAGCCCTAGTCAACCACTGATCAACTTTCTATTTTTATATTTAGTAAGTTTCATGTAAGTGGAATCATAGATGCACCTAAGAATAGGGGCTTGGTGGTTTTGATACGCAAAGAAACTACCAACGTGGTATCTTTGATTTTAGGGCATCCTCCTTTCTGCCACCATCTAATGTGGGGCAGACCAAAAATTATGGTCCATGTTGCTGTAAGAGAAATTTTGGCTTCAGAACTGGTAATGCATTTATAATTTTTCACTCTTTAGAGATGCAAGTTTAGCTTTGACATCGTACAAAGATGAGCTCTCAAAAAGACGCAACTAAACCCCAAGCTCCTTAAATACTTTGCATTATTCTTCTAAATTTAGTCCCACACAGTATTTATTTAACTCAGTATTTCCTAACAAAATAGCCCACATACCCTACATTCTTTGGAAGGAACCCAATAACACAGATTAGCGTAGTTACATGTTTAAAAGAAAAAGATAGAAATAGATACATCCACTTTTAGAAATAAGTTTTATAATGAATTGCTTGCCTGTAACAGTTACTTATTTCTTATATTGCTGCTTGAGTTAATTTCAATTCTATTTATTATTCATCCCTAGAATTAGCCCCTCTGCTCTTGGACATAGTCATAGAGTGGAGTGCTACTTCGGAAATTGTAGGAACTTGAGCCAATACTTCCCCCTCTATAGTTACTCCCTTCTCTCTGATCATAATAGCCACCTTGTCTATTATCCTCCTTGCAAATTAACAATGTATTGGTAGTGTTGGATCTAGACTGTTCACAGGAAGGAGTAAATTGTCCAGAACCACAATTTGAGGAGCTTTCTGCTTGTCTATAACTGCTTCGTGATTGCCCTTCTTTACAATTTGAATAGCTACAGCCAGATTCCTGCTGACCCTGGCTCCATCCTTGGCTTTGTTGCCTACATGTTCTTGACTGTCTGTGAATACTCTCATATCTATCAGGCTCACTACCTGATGGGCTGTAACTCCTACTTCTTTCTTTTTGGCTGTACCCTGACCATTCCTGGCTATTTCTTCTTGATTGATTGGGAGTTGAGCCTATTTTGGACCTACTATACTCATCATGAGTTCCACTTGAACTTGAACTACATCTCCCTTTTAATTCATGTTGCTGACCAGATCCAGAACCACATTGTCCAGAGCTAGATGAGTGACATGGACCAGACCCATACTGCTCAGTGCCAGAATACTGACTTGATCCAGAACCACATTGACCAGAGATAGATGAGTGACGTGAACCAGACCCATATTGTTCAGAGCTAGAACATTGACCTGAGCCAGACCCCTGTTGACTCTGGCTGGAACACTGACCTGTGGCAGAGCTGTGTTGGCCATAGTGAGAAGACTGACTCCATGCAGACCCAGATTGGCCATGACCAGAAGACTGACTTGAGCCAGACCCATGTTGGCCATAGCTAGAAGACTGACCTGAGCCAGACCTGTGTTGGTTATAGCTGGAAGAATGACCTGATCCAGATGCATATTGACTACAGCTTGAGGACTGTCCTGAAATAGAACCATGTTGTCCATAGCTAGAAGATTGACCTGAGGCAGAGCTATGTTGGCCATGCCTAGAAGACTGACCTGAGCCAGACCCATGTTGGCTATGGCTAGAAGATTGACTTGAGCCAGATCCATGTCGGCTGTGGCTACAAGACTGACTTGAGCCAGAGCCATGTTGGCCATAACTAGAAGACTGACCTGAGCCAGACCCATGTCGGCTATGGCTAGAAGATCGACTTGAGCCAGATCTGTGTTGGCCATAGCTGGAAGACTGACCTGATCCAGATGCATGTTGACCACAGCTTGATGACTGTCCTGAAATAGAACCATGTTGCCCATAGCTAGAGGATTGACCTGAACCAGAGCCATGTTGGCCATGCCTAGAAGACTGACTTGAGCTAGAGCCATGTTGGCCATAACTAGAAGACTGACCTGAGCCAGACCCATGTCGGCCATGGCTAGAAGATCGACTTGAGCCAGATCTGTGTTGGCCATAGCTGGAAGACTGACCTGACCCAGATGCATGTTGACCACAGCTTGATGACTGTCCTGAAATAGAACCATGTTGTCCATAGCTAGAAGATTGACCTGAGGCAGAGCTATGTTGGCCGTGCCTAGAAGACTGACCTGAGCCACACCCATGTTGGCTATGGCTAGAAGATTGACTTGAGCCAGATCCATGTCGGCTGTGGCTACAAGACTGACTTGAGCCAGAGCCATGTTGGCCATAACTAGAAGACTGACCTGAGCCAGACCCATATCGACTATGGCTAGAAGATCGACTTGAGCCAGATCTGTGTTGGCCATAGCTGGAAGACTGACCTGATCCAGATGCATGCTGACTATAGCTTGATGACTGTCCTGAAATAGGACCATGTTGTCCATAGCTAGAGGATTGACCATATCCAGACTCATGCTGTCCAGAGCTTGATGATTGACCTAAGCCAGATCCATGCTCAAAGCCAGAAGACTCTCCTGAGCTAGACCCATGTTGCCCAAGGCCAGAAGACTGACCTGATCCAGACCCATGTTGCCCAAAGCCAGAAGACTGACCTGATCCAGACCCATGCTGGCCATGTTGGGAGGACCGGCCAGAGCCAGATCTGTGGCTAGAAGACTGGCTTGATCCAGACCTATGTTGGCCATAGCTGGAAGACTGACCTGAGCTAGATCTATGCTGGCTGCCGCTTGATGACTGTCCTGATGTAGAACCACGTTGTCCATAGCTGGAGGGTTGACCAGAGCCAGATACACACTGACTAAAGCCAGAAGACTGACCTGAGCCAGACTCATGTTGGCTGTAGCTAGAAGACTGACCTAAGCCAGATCCATGCTGGCCACAACTAGAAGACTGACCTGAGCCAGATATGTGTTGGCCGTAGCTAGACTGACCTGACCCAGATCTTTGTTGTCCAAAGCCAGAGGACTGACCTGATGCAGAACCATGTTTTCCATGGCTAGAAGATTGACCATATCCAGACTCACGCTGTCCACAGCTTGAGGATTGACCTAAACCAGATCCATGCTCACCAAAGCCAGAAGACTGACCTGATGCAGACCCATCATGACCAAAACTAGAAGACTGACCTGAGCCAGACCCATGTTGGCTGTGGCTAGAAGACTGACTTGATCCGGACCCATGTCGGCTGTGGCTAAAAGATTGGCCTGATCCAGACCTATGTTGGTGATAGCTAGACGACTGCCTTGAACCAGTTCCATAGCTAGAAGACTGACCTGATCTAGGTCCATGTTGGTTATAGCTTGATGACTGTCCTGATTGTTCATAGCTAGAGGATTGACCTAAGCCAGATCCATGCTGACTAAAGCCACAAGACTCTCTGGAGCCAGACTCTCGTTGACTAAAGCCAGAAGACTGACCTGAGCCAGATATGTGTTGGCCATAGCTAGAATGACTTAATCCAGACCCTTGTTGTCCAAAACTGGAGGACTGACCTGAAGCAGAACCATGTTTTCCTTGGCTAGAAGTTTGACTATATCTAGATTCATGCTGTCCACACCTTGATGATTGACCTATGCCAGATCTATGCTGATCAAACCCAGAAGACTGATCTGAGCCAGACCCATGTTGGTTGTGGCTAGAAAACTGACTTGAACCAGACCCATGTTGACTGTAGCTGGAAGATTGACCTGATCCAGACCCATGTTGGCTATAGCTAGAAGACTGTCCTAAACCTGATCTGTGTTGGCTATAGCTAGACTGACCTGATCCAGACCTTTGTTGTCCAAAGCCAGAGGACTGACCTGAAGTAGAACCATATTTTTCATAGCTAGAACCATATTCAGATTCGTGTTGTCCGTGGGTTGATGACTGACCTAAGCTAGATCCATGCTGACCAAAGCCAGAAGATTCTCTTGAGCTAGAACCATCTTGCCCAAAGCCAGAAGATTGACCTGATCCAGATCCATATTGGCCATCCCTTGAAGACTGACCTGAGCCTGAACCATGTTTTCCATAGCTGGAGGTCTGTCCTGATGTAGACTCGTGTTGAGTAAAGCCTGAAGACTGACCAGACCCGGATCCATGTTTTCCACTGCTTGATGACTCACCTAAATTGGATCCTAAGCTAGACTCATGGTATTTCTGACCAGAAGATTGATTATAGCCAGACCCATATTTTCCATAATTAGAGGATTGGTCTGATCCGGAGCCATGGTTTTGTCTTCCACAACTCCCTGAATGACCACCTGAGTTGGATTCATAGTGTTTTTGCCTAGAAGAATGACTGGAGCCAGAACCATATTGTCCACAGCTAGAAGACTCTCCAGATCCAGATTCTTGGTGACCATGGTTAGAAGATTGTCCTGATCCAGACCTGTGTTTAATGCTTCCTCTAGAGCCCCTGGAACTAGAATCATTTTCTCCTGCACTCCAACTTGAATAACTGGAAGATGATTCTTGCCCTTTGTCCTCCTCTTCTGTTTCACTCTGTTCCTCTTGGTGCCAGTGACTGTAGTCTCTTTGCTTTGATCCTGAAGCTTGGCAGTAATCTTTGCTGATGATTTTATTACAAGCCTGAGCCAGCCTGAATATCATCAGAAGATATTCAGTAAAATCCACTTTCCTGTTATGATCTCGATCCAGACTTTGCATGATGATATCCACAGTGTCTGGATCATCTGGATTCTGCATAGGAAGAAGGTACAAAGGGTGGCTCTGTCAGTATGGACCAAACACCCAGCTAGCCAGTTGAAGGAAGGCTGTAGAAATGTGAATGCTTGGCTTACTTAGGTGGAGCTCAACCACATAGTCCTTTAGGGTGGACTGCTCTATCCTGAGCACAAAGAGAGAAAGGAATATACAATGAATAATGCAGTAAGAAATAGCTAGAAGAGGATGCAAGGAAGATGACAGGAAACAAAGGAATCAATTATTTTTTGTAAAGAATGGGTCAAATATGAATGATTAGCTAATTTATAAATAATGATTTTGGATACTTCCATTTGTTATATATGACTTTTCTTTATTTGTCCACTCTTTAATTCATTCATTCATCTTCTCGTTCAACAAAGATTTATTGGGCACTAACTATCTGCCTAGCATTGAGTTAGATGCAGGGATAAAGCAGTGAAAGAGTTTGATTCCTGAAGAAATGGAACTTAAAGTTTAGTGGGCTAGACACACAAACAAAATGATAATTTATTGTGATAATGTTTCTATGAGAGTATACCAGAGGGGAATCACTTGGGGTTCAAGGAAGGTTAATGAGAGGAAGTGATGTCTTTTGAAGGATGAGTTGGAATTAGCCAAATGAAGGGATAGGAAGGGAGGGAGGGGGATCAAAAGATTGTTCCAGGCAGAGAGAACAATATAAACAAAGAGCTGGAGGTGAGAGAAGGCATGACTCATGGCTCATACAAGGAACTGAAAGAAATAGAGGATTGCTAAATTTAGAGTCTCAGCAGTCAAGAGATGTGGCTAGAGAGATAAATAGGGGCCAGATCATGCCTTTTTAAGTCATATTAAGGAACTTTGGACTTATTATAAGAGCTGGGAGCTGTTGAAGGATTTTGAACTGAGTGTGAAGTGATTAGATTTGCATCCAACACAGATTGGAAGTAGGAGGTGGCCTGAACCAGAGAACTAACAATAGTGATGGAAAGAAATGGACTGTTTTGAGAGACTGTTGATGAATTTGATGGAGCTTGGAGGGTGGAGGAGTCTGCTCAGAGAAGAAGTCAAGAACGGCACCAGATTTTTGCCTTGGACAAAGAGGAGAAGGAGAGTTTAAGAGGGTAAGATGATGTGTTTTGCATCTGACACACTGAATTTAAGACATCCATAGGAATCCAAATACAAATATTCAGTAGGCAGCTGGATTTAATAAATAGAAGATTAAGAACTAGATTCAAACTCTCAAATATTTATTTCTATAGCTAATATTTAAGGTGTTGGTTACCCTATTTTATGATTTAGGAGTAAGATGTTAATTTTCTGAACTCAGAGGCATTATAGTGCCAGAGTCTCAGAAATGGGTAGTGGTCAGGATGTTCTGGGCTGAAGAAAGAAAAAGAAAGGGAAGAAGATGTATTTCACCTACTTTGCAGTTTTTCTAAGGACCATCTCAGTTTCTCTTCCAGAAGAATTGCTACTCTCATAGGACGTTATTTAAACTATGGGTTTTGTCTGCTATTTAGTAGAATCACTCCCTTGGTCATGTTATGGAGACCAATATGGGTCAACTTTTGACCTTATTTCCAAGCCTTTACCAAAGCCTGTTCTCTATCACTGACTAGGAAGAGTCCTCTAGGAGTTTGACATCTGTGAAAAAAGGTAGGGAGGAGTGAAGAAGAGAAGTGTAGCTGTCTTCAGCCCTGACCTGGAGTTCTTACCTTCAGAATTTGATGAAACTCATTTTCCAAAAGTTCTTTCAGTTCTGCCTTGTTCAGCCTGGCACACTCCTCATCCTGGGTGGCATATTGGTAGAAAATATCGATGACAGTGACAATGCTTTGCAGGAGTTCAGGCATCTTTTTGTAAATTTGATTAACCTAAAGGGGAAAAAAAATGAGAGAGACCCACTTCTTATTGTTCCATTTTTTTTGCTTAAATACATAAATAGTTTCAGTCATTTGTAATTGTTCAGAATTAATCAGCCATGATTAATTTCATCCTGTTGTAATGAAGAACGAATCCAGAGTTGAATGACTTGTTCAAGCCATGCATCAAGAGAGTGATGAAGTTAGGAACAGAATCTGTATCTCTTGTTTCCATTCCTGAATGAATATAGGAAAAGTGGCTTTGTCTTTTGGGTTCCCTGCCTCTACCAGGGATAATTTTATGAGGTTTTTTCCTTGAGTTGTAGAAATCCTGAGGGGGCCAATCCATTCACTTGCTTGATTCCTCTCTAGGCCCCAACCATCACGTTAGGGAGGGACTGATCCATTGTCTACATGGCATCCCTGAGTCCAACTAAGGGGCACAGTGACTAAACTGGATCCTCATGACTTCTAGGCCAGAGAAAGTAGACAAAGTGCACAAAGCCAACCACAGGCCTAGCTGATATGGAGTTGGGTGCAGCTGCTGTAGGCTCAGTGGCTCACCTTCTGTTTTCATTCTCCAAGCGGGGACTGACCCTCGGGCTTTATCACTTACTCAACAGTGAGAAAGAGCCCAGTAGTAAAAGAAGCAACCTGCCTAGTGGATTATTAGAGTCCCATGATCTTTAAGGAAATGACCCCAAAGAAATGAGGGACTATCAGTCCTAGTTATCACTTCATTTTCCTTCTCAATAAAGTTAAACTTATACCGCAGTTCCCCAAAGTATTTTAAAATAATGCCTGGTATCCAGTGCCTCTTTGCCTGAGAGCACATCCTGGATTCTTATAATTTAGAGCTCTAAGTAGTCCTGCTCACTTACCTAGTTCACCAGAGGCACAAGTAGGATGGAGACTGAAGCAGCTTACAGGGTGCTGCTAGTTGGGGATAGTGGCCTTTTTATAGAGGGAATAATGGTCCATCTTAGGGAGGAGCTGCTCTCTTTCAGATTTCCTAATTCACTCCCAAACAAGCACAGCTCCACCTCCATCTCCACCTCCCAGGTGTTTACCTTCTCACTTCCTCTCATGTTGGCCGGCTATTGCATTAGCAGTTCCCAAATCTGGGCGAGTATCAGCCCCACCTGCCAGAGTCTCTAAATACTACAGAAAGACCTCTTTGCAAATTCAACAAGGTATCTAGCATAATGCCTTGATAACAAATTATGTGGACTTTAAGAAGTTGAATGAAGTGTGTGCAGGGACATTAGGGACCAAATGTCAAAGAATTATGGAATGTGATTTTTAAAAGGAACCTTAAAGATGACCTAGTCAAACTCTTCCTTGTTAGCCAATTTTCCTTATCCAGCCAAAGTGTCACCCATGATTATTACTACCTCTTGGAATGGATCATGGCTGCAGAGGCCCTGTTGTCTCTTTACCTAACTCTATTTACCAGACCTTAGCGGCCATTCATCAATGTAGCTTTCACTTCAACCACTATACAACCTTGGGAAGAAATCCATGCTCTTTACCATGGTATCCAGTGGCTTCCCTCCAGCCCCATCTCCTCTCTCTCTATTCGTCTTTAAGCTCCACCTGTAATTAACGACTTAAACCTTTCTGAATATACCATACTACTTCGTATTTTTTCTTGGAATATCTTTCCTCATTATCTGCCTAGTTAACTCCTATTCATTCTTCAAAATCCACCTTAGACATCCACTAGGAAATCTTTCTTGAATTACTCTAGACAGAGTTATAATTATGTACCTTATTCATAATTTTATTGTAATATCAATCATACTATATTATAATTTTTGAAAATTGCCTTACTATATAATGTTTAATATAAAAAATTAGAAAATATAGATAAGCAAAGAAAATGAAAATACCTGTAATGCTACTACCCAGAAATAGCTCCTGTTAATTATTTTGTGTATATTCTTTCATACACATACACATACAGATATATATTTGCCTGTGTGCCTATATCACTTCTAGAGTCTGAGCTCCTTGAGAATAAGGAATGGGCATTATTAATCCCTGTGTCATCTAGACACTCAGCACATTGCTTGGCACATAAAGGTCCCCGATAAATGTTTGTCAAATTGAACTGAAAGAGGAGCAGAGGTCATAACCTCAGCGCTCTTCACTGACCAAGTTCTGCTTTTTCACGGTAAGACTAGGGTCTGCCCTCTCTCTTGCCATCCTCACCTCAGAGGACATGATTTCACTTGAATATAAACTGAGTCTTAGCACTGAGAATCAACAAGTGACTTTCTGCTTATCCCTAAGGACCTTGCTCTACACGCCGTGCATTTTGAATGTCTAACACCAGTATCACTGAAGCTGGGTGAAGTTACACAGACTTCAAACTTGTGCAATATGATCATCAGGATTTGGGAGGAATGGTAGCAACTATTGGCAAATGATAAATCACATAATTCCAAATTCAACCATTATTAGGCTGTGTGTTTTCTTCTGAGAGCTACCCAGAGGGCTGTAGTGGCAGTATCCATACTGTGGCTGTGTTTCCTCTGGATGCCTGATTTGGGCCAGGTTATCATGCTTCGTCAGAGGAATGAGCTTTTTAAGGTGTGGCTGAGCCTGTGGGAATGCAGAGGAGGTGGACTTGGTTGGGTGAAGACTAATTTCCTGCAGGAGCTGCTGTTGCCACAGAGAAAAGAGAGGGTTGTGGGTGAAGCTATTTCAGGTGAAACATGCTCTTGGGGCCAGTGTTCTCCTAAACTAGGGGTCAGCCCTTTGTCTGGAAAGGGCCACATAGTAAATATTATAGGCTTTGTGGGCCAGATGGTCTTTATTGCAACTACTCGGCTGTGCTCTTGTAACATGAAAACAGCCATAGATGATATGTAAACAAATGAGCATGGCTATGTTTCAGTAAAACTAATTTATTGACGCTGACCTTTAAATTTCATATAATTTCACATGTAATAATTTTTTTTCAGCCACTTAAATATCTAGAAAACAGTCTTATCTTGTGGGCCATTCAAAAATTGGCGACAAGGTAGATATGGCCTGTGAGCTGTAGTTTGCCACTTCCTCCCCCTTTTCTGTATTTGCTTCTCAGGAAGATTTGCCAGAGAGGAGAATCTCAGAGGGGAGAGAAGTGCTGGAAAGTGGGGGACATCAGAACCACTAATTCTTTTTTTTCTATTTTGCTAAGGAAGATTCGCCCTGAGCTAACATCTGTTGCACATCTTCCTCTATTTTGTATGTGAGCCCCCATCAAAGCATGGCCACTGATAGACAAGTGGTATAGGTCTGTGCCTGGGAACTGAAACCAGGCTGCCAAAGCAGAGTGCGCCAAACTTAACTGGGGCTGGCTGGTTCAGGGTTGGCCCAGAACCATTAATTCTTGTGAGAGAGAAAAGTGTGTGTGTCTTTTTGTGAATGTTGGCATGTGTGAGGTATTTGGGAAAGGAACAGAACACATGACCTTTGGATGCTCAAAAAAGCGAGGTAAATTTTGACTTGATGTAAGGAAGAAGTTAATATCTGCATTGGCTGAAAATGCAGTGAGCTCTTTGCAGAGTAATTGAACTTATTGCCAGGGGTATTATAGGAACTTCATGTGTCACATAAGCAGTTTTAATGCTTTCAGTGCTTTATTTTCTGGGTGTCCTCCAATATCACCAGCCAGAGTTTTGTTGAGCTTTATTTCTTGGTTTGTGTCATGAAAACGAGGCATATTGAATGTGCATTTTGTCCTCTTGTCTTTCTTTTGAGAATTACTAATGTAAGAGTTGGACTAGATCATCACAAAGTCCTTTCCAAGACTGAGATTCATGATTTTAGTAGAGTGTGTGCTCCACAGCATTCGGGTGGGCACGAAGATCCCCCTCATCAGTTTGGTTAGTGGTTTTCCCCTTGGAGATGACAAGGTCCAGAAGAAGAGATTTCTCATGGAGTGTGTCGTGTTCTAGGTTTTCAGTGCCTTCGTGTGTTGGCAGAAGAAAGGAAATTATGTTCCCGTTTATGCCAAGCACAGTGCTCTGTGCACTTATGTACATCATTATATTAATCCTCACAAGACAGGTATGATGTAGGTATTATTACCTCCATTTTTCAGATGAGAGAACTGAGGCTCAGAGAAAACATGTAGCTTGTTTCGAGTCACTTAGCTGGTAAGTGGGGAAGACAAGATTCAAACTCAAATCTGCTTCTTCCTAGGAATAGCCAGGCAGTGGAGGATTATTCATGTCTTGGAAAAGGCAGGGGTTGGGGAACAGTTCTTGAGGAATGGAGTGTTTGACCTAAAAAAAGAAACCCAACCAACCAACAAACAAAACTGGTGAGGATCAACAGTGGAATTTTCTTCCCACTCCTGCGTGCTCACTCTTGTGCCCATGTCTGAAGGCGGAGTAATGTTCCTATAGCGCCGTCTGCTGGGCCTTAGGGAAATTCTACACAGTCTTTCTCCTCATCTTTTCTCTCCTTTTCTCTCCCCTCTTCCATGCAGTTTCTGATTGTTCTTTGTAGTCTCTATGAGTTGGAGACTTTGTAAAAAAAACAGGGACAAAACAAGCACAGAATGTTGATGGTCGTGATTTTGGGGTAAGTGGAGTCAAAAGAAGTTAGCTACAATATAAAACTGGTCAAAAAGCATTTCCCTCCATATCCTTCTCCCCAGGTTCAAGGGTGATTTTTTCTCTTATCTTAAAAAATAAAAAATGGACTCATATGCTTTACAGCTTAGCATGCATTCTCTGCGGGGTGTGGAGGCAGGTGGTATAGCTTTCAGCTCCAGACCCAGGCCCTGGAATATACTCTGCTCTGGTATTTGTCTTCCTATTCAGTTTTTTCTGTCTCCTCTTAATCTTCTCCCTTTTCTCCTCCAAGACCTCAAAAATGCCATAGACGCTAGGAATTCAGAGCTCCTTCTTACTCGTGTGCTCTTATTTATTCTGTCATTATCTTTCTCTAATGTGTTTCCGTCTCCTTAACTTGCTGTTTGATGCTCTTTTTGGCATGGCCATTCGTAGCCTGTATCCCTTAGTTCCTGCCTACCTGAGGTTTTCGGCATGCAGGCCTGGTCCATCAAAGTGGCTAGATGTGGAAGAGTTATTGGAGTGATTGGCTGCTCAGGCGCCCTCTAAGGGTTGTAGGAGTAAGCGGTACAGAAGATCCGCCAGCTTGGCAGATATCAGAGGGGACATCGGAGTTTCGGTATGGGAGGGGAAAAGCCGAGACATGGAGACTTTGGTTATTGGCAGTCAGATCCAGAACCCTTGTCTTTTAGAGTGTGTGTGTGTGTGAGTGTGTGTGTGTGAAAGAGAGAGAGAGAGACTTTAGTGTGACTGTGATGAGTGTCAACCGATTGGGCCTCAGTTTCCTCTCTGACTTTCTCTCCTCCTACTTTCCCTTTTCTCTTAGACTCTGCTGCAGCCATGCTGCTTCCTTGTTGTTCTCCAGAACAACCAGGCACGCTCCTTCCTTAGGAATTTTTTTCAGGCATGCTCTTTCCTCAGATAGCCATTTGGCTTTATCTTTTATCTCCTTCAAGTCTTTGCTCAAATATCACCTTCTCAATAAGGCCCACCCTGACCACTCTATTTGTTACATACTTTTAACATACTGTATAGTTGGCTTATTTATTTATTGTTTTGATGAGATAGATTGGCCCTGAGCTAACATCTGTTGCCAATCTTCCTCTTTTTGCTTGAGGAAGATTGTTTCTGAGCTAACATCTGTGTCAGTCTTCCTCTATTTTGGATGTAGGATGCCATCACAGCATGGCATGATGAGCAGTGTGTAGGTCCGTGCCTGTGATCCGAACCCGTGAACCCCGGGCCGCCAAAGTGGAGTGCGAGAACTTAACCAGTACGCCGCTGGGCCAGCCCCGTATAGTTGGCTTTTTTATTATGTAGAGTTTTGAGCAGAGGAGAGACAGGATCTGACTCACTGCTATGTTGATAATAGACTATAGGGAAATGAGGTAGAATAAGGAAATCAGTCAGGCGAGAGATGAAAGAATGGACATAGTCAAGGCTTCTGGCTTGGATGACTGTGTGTATGGTGGTATACTCACTAAGAAAAGCAATAAAAGAGAAAGAAAAGGTTTGAGATGAGGGAGTGATGGTGAATTAGTGTGGTCTAATTTATCCCTGTCATCTAACTCTTTCTACCCCTTCCTGACTTAACTCCGTGAAAGGGCAGTGAGCATTCTCTGTCTCTGACTTCCTCATCTTCCATTTACTCTTCAACCCTTTACAATCTGATTTTCACATCCTCTTTCAGGCTTTTTTTGAGGGCTCCTCTTCCATGATATGCTTAAATGTTTTTGTTCTTCAAAGCTCCATCCTTAGTTCTTTGCCTGTTTGGATTGGTTTCCAGTCTTACCATTTATAAAGTAGGATAATGGAGCAGGAAAGAGGGAAGACATATTGTTCATAAATTTTTATTGACATTTTTATACAATTAGATAGTCTGAAACCAGAGACTTGGAAGCTCTGTCTATAAATTTAAGGGTATTGTAGTCTCAGTGATCTGATGATGCTGTAAGACCTAATACATCTCCTCTAAGAGTTGCGTGTAACGTCAAATTTGGTAGAAACTTCAAAACTTGAGCGCTCATATTTAACTTTAACTGAACCCCACACACAAAAATTTTTCTATAATACTATTAAAATTTAAACTTATATCACTGACATCTGCTGAGGAGGGCAAGTATACACTATCTTTTAAAAGAAAATTTTAAAATTTTATCTTTTAAAAGAAAATTTCCACAGTACGTGGAAAGATTGGGGTAGAATTACATTATTAGAGAAAAGGATAGAGACAGATAACTGTCCTCAAAAAGAAGTTTTCACAGTAAGTTCCTGTGCTTTATGTTTTTCTTCTCACGTCTTCACTTAAGTTTTGAGTTAGTTTCTCTCCTGTTGTTCTCACTTTGATTATGGTTCCTTTGCTTGTGGCTATCTTTATAGAGTGGAGTGTTGGTATAAAAAAATGTTTTTGCTTGCTTTCACTGCCACTTGTTGTCTCAGAGCTGCCATTTTGGTAAACATCCTCATCTTGTCTGTACCTTCCACTGTCCCTCAGCTGACTCTGGCGAAATTCCTGTCCTTCCACTGAGCTCTCTGGCTGTGCAGAGACCCTGAATGTCTAGACTTGCCTAGTGACTGGCTGTGAGTGGATTCATACTGGTTTCTGAAACTGGACTTAGACCATCCATGGGTTTATTCTGACTGTATCTCTGAGTCTTCTGATTGTCCTTCACTATCACTGGCCTGATCAGTACTGGATCCCTGAGGTTTGCTTGTTCTGGATCCAGTCCATAAAGGTGATGATTGCCTGTGAGATGACCCAGATTGTCCATAAATAGACCCATGTCTTTCTCTTGTGTTGGACCCTAGTTCTCCATGGGTAGACCTAGCTTACCTATGAATAAATGGCCACCCTTGATAGGACTCTGGCCTATCTCCAGGTTCCCCATGGCTAGAGTGGTCTCTTCCTCTTGTGCTAGATCCAGACTCTCAATGGCCATACTCAGACTGATCATGAGAAGGGGAAGATCATCTTTCCCTGTCTTCTGATTGTCCTTCAGTATCACTGGACTGGCTATAATTGGATCCTCCTTGTCTCTTGATACTGGACTCAGACTGAGTAAATGATGATTGTGTGTGAGTAGATCCTGCGTGTCCACAGCTGTCTCTTGTTTGTCCATGGCTAAATTGTATGCCTTTGGTGCTGGATCTTGGTTGTTCTTCTGTAGGTCCCAGACTGCCTTTCAGTGTGTGTCTGTCCTTGGTGAGACTCTGAGTATCTATACCTGTATTCTGACTCCCTGTGTCTCAGCTGTCCATAGTCATACTCAGACCATCCATGGACTGATGTTGACTTTCTATATGAGTTTCCTGAGTGTTATCATTACACTATAACTAGATCCTCAATGTCTGTTTATACTTGATCCAGACCTTGCATATGCAGATTGTCTGTAAGCAGACATGGAGTATCTAGAGCTGTCTCATGGTTGTCTATAACAAGATGCCTGTCTTCCTGTTATACTGGGCCCAGATTTTTCTTGGGTGGATCCAAGCATCAGAGGAACACTGGAGTGGATGTCTGATGAATGGCTCTTTCAGTGTGAAAGCTATAATTCCATGAATCAAGTAAATCTTTTTGCCTGCCTCCACTCAGTTTAGCTTAGATAGTATTTTGATCAATTCTATTCAAGAAATAAAGTGGTAACAGGACC